CTGAAACAGACGCGAAGGGTTCGATCAGGCAACTTTTATAAAACATTTTCCATCATATTTCATCATAATATCGTGAGCACAGACACATGTTTACTAATGGACGTCCAGTGGTTTGAGTTCTGTGGCGGGAACACAGTAAATGGGTTCGGTCAAGTGTTAACGGAGGGAAACAGGGTCAGATTTTTGACATTCAAATGTCTCTTATTCAGAAACTAGAGGAACTATTGAAATAAGTAAAGTATCAGAATGTAGGAAAGAGTTACACTCCAACAGGGTCAAGTTAAACCTGTGAGATTCTTTAAATTGTTGACAAAAAATTAAAAAACTCATGTCGGTAACGGAGGGAATGAAATATGCAGCACTTTTTGGTCAATAAATCCAAACAGTGATAACTCTTGGTTCTCACTTACATATCCTTAACAAACTGGTTTGAATATTTGCTTCATATAGTTTTCTACCATATGGTACAAGATTAGGTTGAAAAACCTCAGACTTTTTGACTCATGAGATTTTTTATTAAGAAAGTTCATGGTAACGGAGGGAAAAGTAACGGAGGGAAAATTGTACAAACAAGTAGAAGGTGCAGGATTTTACATCATTTGTCACTTTTTTCTTCTGAATACTTTAATATTACTTCAAAATGAAAGAAACTATTTCTATAAAATATGTCAGTCCTTCCAAGAACATTTTTATCATTTTAAATACTTTTTTTTTTTAAATCATGTCCCTTCATCAACAGTTCAAAGATGGAATAACACAAGATATGATGAAATACAATCCATTTATTTACATGATTTTCAGGTCTTTGAAATTTGGGAAATAATTTTTGTTCCATGTTTCATACATGGTCTGTTTAAAACATATGGAACTTTAGAACCAAAAATGGTACAGAAAAAAGGTCAACAGTTTGATAAACTAGAGAACATATGTATCTGTTCAATACTTTTTTATATCAGATGAATTCACTTGAATTTTTGGCCTTGTTGTTTACTTCTGCTTGACTGGGCCCAAATATTAAGATTAAGGACAATTTTGATTTTAAATTTCATTAAAATCGATACGAGGTAAACGTGTTCAAATCAAATACAGATTTTAGTGAGTTATTTACAATTGTAATGCTGATTTACACAGTAGCTCACATGTCATGTCATTATATTATACTAACAAAGTCAAAAAATATAAAAATGATGATAATAAATTCTAAATAAGTAGCAAAAATAACAAGAGACAGGTGTCAAAAAAGGCAAATTACACTCATACAAACACATCATATTTGGGGATATGCTTTAGAATTATTGTCACAGTCAGAAATTATTCAGATTTAAATACCGTATTTTTCGGTTTATAAAGTGCAATATCAATAATCTTGAACTCTCTCATCTATTTTCATACATAAGATCCATCGGCAGATCCTGGTGTAATTCGCCCGACGTTGTCTCTGTCATGGTGAATGTTTATGTTTATGTGAATGTGGGTGGATCATTTAAGTTTGGATTTTTATTTCCTACGAGGACGACTACATTGAGTAATAATGTGTTTAATGCAACTTTGTGCACATTTGTTTACGTTTTACAAACATGAAACTTAAAACCACATGACTCATTTGCATAAACTATAAGCGCTGAAAAACCCTACTCGCTCCGTGAGCTGATACGGTTCAGCTTCTGTCGGACTAAAGGACACGACTCCACGAGGCTCCTGACTCCTGCAGCTGTAATGCTCTAACGATCCATCAAGCGGTGCGGCTTCGTAGTTTATCAAAGTCGTACTAAAATATTTTGACAGATTCTTGAGCGCCGTGTACCACATAAAATCGGTTCGAGGTCAGTAAACACAACCAGACTGAACACACTGGAAAAAATTTAAAGATTTTAAGTGCGCCTCATAGTCTGAAAAATACGGTATGTATTTAATTCTAGTATGTCATATAGCTGTTATTATTTATTTATTTTTTTATTATTACTATTATTATTATTATTAATTTATTTTTTTGTTTTTATGTGATGCTGAAACAAAAATCTATTTAAACAAAACTATATAAATAAAACTATTCAATATACCAGACATGTCAAACTCAGGCCCGGGGGCCAAATTTGGGCCACGATATAATTATACTTGGCCCTCGAGATCATTTTAAATCTGTGTTAGAGCTGCCCTCTGCACACAGATAGACTATAGAGACATTATTTATTTCATTTTTTCTTATTATTTTACATTATACTTGTTCTGGATTCAATGTTTAAGCAAAACTATTATTAAACATTTATTTTAATAAGAAAAGATTTAACATTACATATCACTAAAGGAGAGAAAACATGCAGATGTTGTTGAAATATTTCAGTAAATATTTAGTCTTAGTCACAATTTTGAATTTTGTCTTCTGTGAGTTTGAGTTTGACTCTCCTGCAGTTTACTGAATATCCAGCTCTTTTCACATTCATCACTGTTTGTTGCTACAATCATATTGACTCTTTGTATTTTATTATTTTTTGTTTGTTTGTTTTTTATATATTTATTTTGGGCATGTAAGCATTTTTCGTTCTTTTTACAATATTGATGTTAGTGCAATCAAACCAACAGAAACCATCAAAAATGTGTTCAAAAAGAAGTGGGAAGTAAAATATATTTAATCCCAGCCTCATCTTCTAATTTAACACAATGATAATTCTTTTACATTTGTGATTTCATGTTTATTCTAACGAGACGAAAACAAAAATATAACTCAAGTGTCTTTGTTCAAATATATTACAGCACAGAATGTTCCAGATTTTTGAGTAAAGCTCAGTTTTGGTGGTGAAGCCGAGCTGCGAGCAGACGGGAGAGTGGAGACAAACACTGGGCACTGGTGCTCTGCAGGGGCATCACGCTGGGGGGGTTCTACATGTATCTCTATGGTGGAATGTTCAGCATGGAGACACAAGGCACGAATAAGTAAACACGGACAAAAAAGGTTTAAGATCAAAGGTGTATTCACATTATTAACATTATTAAGATTATTAACATAACATCACCTACAGAACATAAAGCACAGACCCAGGACTAAACCAGGACTAAACCAGGACTAAACAGGTCTAAACCAGGTCAGAACCAGGACTGGACCAGGTCTAAACCAGGTCTGACCCAGGACTAAACCAGAAATAAACCAGGATTGAACCAGGACTAAACCAGGACTAAACCAGGTCTGAACCAGGTCTGACCCAGGACTAAACCAGAAATAAACCAGGATTGAACCAGGTCTGAACCAGGACTAAACCAGGTCTGAACCAGGACTAAACCAGGTCTGAACCAGGTCTGACCCAGGTCTAAACCAGAAATAAACCAGGATTGAATCAGGACTAAACCAGGACTAAACCAGGTCTGAACCAGGACTAAACCAGGTCTGAACCAGGTCTGACCCAGGACTAAACCAGAAATAAACCAGGATTGAACCAGGACTAAACCAGGACTGAACCAGGACTGAACCAGGTCTAAACCAGGTCTAAACCAGGTCTGAACCAGGACTAAACCAGGACTAAACCAGGTCTGAACCAGGACTGGACCAGGTCTGACCCAGGTCTAAACCAGGTCTGACCCAGGACTAAACCAGAAATAAACCAGGATTGAACCAGGACTAAACCAGGACTGAACCAGGACTGAACCAGGTCTAAACCAGGTCTGACCCAGGACTAAACCAGGACTAAACCAGAAATAAACCAGGACAGAACCAGGACTAAAGCAGAACTGCCCCAGGACTAAACCAGGACTGAACCAGGTCTAAACCAGGACTAAACTAGGTCTGACCCAGGACTAAACCAGGACTAAACCAGGTCTGAACCAGGACTGGACCAGGTCTGACCCAGGTCTAAACCAGGTCTGACCCAGGACTAAACCAGAAATAAACCAGGATTGAACCAGGACTAAACCAGGTCTGAACCAGGACTGAACCAGATCTAAACCAGGACTAAAGCAGGACTAAAACAGGACTGAACCAGGACTAAACCAGGACTAAACCAGGACTAAAACAGTTCTAAACCAGGACTGAATCAGGACTAAACCAGGACTAAACCAGTTCTAAACCAGGACTGAATCAGGACTAAACAGTTCTAAACCAGGACTAAACCAGGGCGAAACCAGGACTAAAACTGGACTAAACCAGGACTGAACCAAGACTGAACCAGGACTGAACCAGGAGGACTAAACGAGGACTAAAACAGAAGTGAACCGAGACCGAAACCGAAGTGAACCGAAAAAAAAACCAAGACAGGACTAAAAATCTGAACTTTGAACAGAATAAATCTCTAATCAGGCTCGTCTGAAAAAACACAGATATTTATTTTTCCAGCTCAGGCCCGAACCAGGACTAAACCAGGTCTAAACCGGGACTAAAATGTGAACTGAACTGAAAACCACAGATAGTTATTTTCCTCGGGCCTGGCTCAGAAAAGTCCGTTGAGCAGAAGATGTCCACCCTGAACAGACACGAGCGCAGGAAAAACGCAGCGAGTTAACAGCTGCTTCCACATTTCAACAGACAGACTTTGCTTCAGATTCTCAGCTCGAACTTTGACCTCTTAAGTAATAATATGGTTTTCTGAGCTCCTCTCGCTCTCGCCGACTTGTGACACGTTCTAACATTTGATGCAAAAGCAGCTGGTGCCTGTTTTTTTTCTCCCTCCTCTTGAAATGAACGCGCCGAGACAGAAGGCCGCTGAATGTCACGTATTAATAGTACACGGATCTCTGAGGAAGTGACAGAAGAGGAGCAGAAAACAGGATCCAGGCGCGAGCACACGGGCGACGACGACGAAGACGACGACGAAGACGACGCTGACTCGCCCCACTTCCTGTTTCAGAGAGAGGGAGAGGCCGCCACCGCCACAACCGCCACACCTGAGGTTCAAGAGGCAGAACGTCAGCAGCAGACGATAAAGAAACTGAAATACGGTTTTAGTGGTAACAACGACGGCAATAAATTTTACACACCCTAGGTTAGGTTAAAGCCACAAGTTGCATCTCAAAGG